GCTGCTGGCTACTGCTGACTAGACGCCCTAAGGTTAGCTGCTGCTGACTGGACGCCCTAAGGTGAGCTGCTGCTGACTGGACGCCCTAAGGCGAGCTGCTGCTGAATTGATCGCGCGAACACTAGTGGCTACACACACACACGAACACACACACGAACACACACACGAACACACACACGAACACACACACGAGACCGATTACATTACCTCCTTGGCGGAGGTAAAAAGGGCTGCTCGCTACCCTGGGGTCGTCTGGCTACTCACATTGATAGCATGCTGACAGGAGTAAGGTGATTGTCTTCTATCCATCCCGGAATTTCTACCCGTAGGTTGAGTCCGTATGGTTGGACGGTGTTTAGATTGTGAATCCAGTAAGCTTCTCTTTTCTTTCTGATGCGGATCGTAAGTGGCTGGGGTTTTCATAGAGAGATCCGCCGCAGCAGAAGAACGCCGTTGTTCACATGGTATAACCTTCATAGCATATTGAGAGGACAAGTTAGTGATGTCACGATCATCGATTATACTCGATCATTGGTTGAACAGTGGCTCGAAAGCTTTGTTATCAAAATCCATAATCAATTTCATAAAAAAAAAAAAAACAGAGATATCAGAGATATCATCGCTACTATACAAAGTTATCCTTTATTAACATACATGTATTATACACACAGTAGTAAACAGTGGAAAACAAACAGTAAACATGGCTAAACAAGCACATACATGCACACACGTACATGCACACGACGTTACGCACACGCAGGCATTCAACACCCCGAGTAACCGATTGTAACCGATCATCGGTTACTTGGGTCCAACCGATGATCGATTACGAAATTACAACCGATTGACAACACTAACTGGACAACTTCCGGGGTTTATGCTTCTACCGTTGTTATTACTCTGACTTGCCGGTGACGCGCCAGGGCGGGTCGCCGAGCGAGTGGGTGTGTGTGTGCGATCTTATCGCGATGTTCTTGTGTTTCAGCACCGCTGCACAGCCAGCCGATCCCGTTCTCGCGCAGCGGCAACCCGGTCATGTCTACCGTCGCGTTCCTGGCGTCCGTCGTAGATCCACGCATCGCCAGCTCTGCTGCCAAGGCTGCCATGGGTACGTGTGTGTGTGTGTGTGTGCAGGTGTGTGTGTGTGCAGGTGTGTGTGTCCGTGTGTGTGCATGTGTGTGTGTGTGTGCATGTGTGTGTGTGTGTGTGTGTGTGCGCGTGTGCGCGTGTGTGTGTGTGTGTGTGTGGGTGTGCGTGCGTGCGTGTGTGTGCGTGTGCGTACATTCGTGTGTAAGCATGTCTGTGTGTGTGTGCGTGTGTGTACATTCGTGCGTGTGTCCGTGCGTGCGTGTATCTTGAGACACACCTGCCTCCATGTATATATATATATATATATATACATATATATATATATATAATCTCTCCTCCTCTCTCTATCTCCCTCTCTCTACCTCTCTCTATCTCTCTGTGTCCATCACGTATAGATGCGTTCTGTAAGCTGAGGGATGAGGTGAGCCCGGGAGTACTGGAGGCGCACCTGAGACGCGTGCGAGACCACGCGGAACGCACGGGCATCGTCGACCCGAGACGCGGACTCGATAAGACCAGCATCGCCGGCACCGAGGCAGAGCCACCGGAGGGCGCCACCGGTACGTGAGCGCGACGAGCGCGGTGGTTGGTGGTCGGTGTAATACACGTGTCCTGTATATATGTATGTATATACTTATATATATACATATC